TGTTAATTTATTTAGCTCATCCTTTTATTTAAAATTTTATTCTGTTTTGATATTTATTTAAAATTTACACAAATTTATTATAAAATATTAGCCCAATCAATGAATCATAAAAATTCAAAGTAATAAGCAAGTGTCTTAAATCAAAAAGATTAGTTGTCTTTAAAAATTTATTCTGATTATAAACAGGTCACGAAAAAAGGATCAATAAATATTAAATGTTTGAATAATATTATATAATATTTTGAAAAAATTTTTAAAATCTAAAATATAAACAGATAGATAGATTTTATTATTGATTTTATTTTTATAAATATCATTCATATTTATTTTTGTAAGTTGATAAATTATTTATAAAAAATAAAAAAATTAAATTTACTTAAATAAATTAATTCCTCTTAAGTAATCCTGTGGTTTCTCCAAAAACGATCAAATAATTTGAACCTGTTAGTGTTATATTATTTCTTTATAATTTTCATAATTTTAAATTTTGTTAAAAAATATTTGATGCCTTAATCCTACAATATTATATGTTTTAATTAGTACTTTTAAGATTTAAAAATTGATTTTACATGAACTTTTTACCACATTTATTCCTAATAGCAAGTTTTATAAATTTCTTATTTCATATATCTTATAATAATTATTTGGGATTTATATCCAAATAAACTCTAAATAAAATTAATTAATTTAGAATATTTTTATAATTAATTAAATTTCCATAAATTTACTTGAAATCAAAAATAAATAAATAAATAAATAAATAAATAAATAAATAAATAAATAAATAAATAAATAAATGATATGAGAGATAAAACATTTCAAAAATCTGAAGGATGTAATTAATCATTTATGTTTTAATATTATTTTAAATTATTTATATTAATAAAAAAAAGTTCTTAAACTCTTCTCTTGAATCTCACTCAGTCCTTGACATTAATCTATTGTATATATATTAATATAGTTATTATTATTATTATTATTATTTATCTTTTTGATATTTAGTTTTTAATTTATTTACATTATTATTTTCTAATAGATATTCTCATCTATTTTTACTTACTTTTAATAAAACAAATATTATTTTAATTATTTTAACTTATTTTTAACTTTTTACCTTTTTTTCTTTGATTATTGATGAATTCATTTAGTAATTTCATATTTATTCTTCATTATTTTCTTTTAATTAGCTAATTAATAATATTTATTTTTCTTTGATATTAAAAAAGCAGCTATTAAATTGGTTATAAAAATATATCAGGTCTATATTCTGCTTTAGCAAAGTGTATTAATCTCTCAAATTTGACACTTAATCTTTGGTAAAAAATTTTTATTTGATTAATTTTTCTTATTTCTTCAAATTGTTTTTTTCTTTATTTATTAATTTAAATCATTCATTTTTTCATTTTCTATGTTATCTTTTATTCTTATTATTTCATTTATTATTTTTCTGCATTATATTCTTCTAACTAACTAACTAACTAACTAACTAACTAACTAACTAACTAACTAACTAACTAACTAA